TAGCTGTAGCTGTAGCTGTAGCTGTAGCTGTAGCTGTAGCTGTAGCTGTAGCTGTAGCTGTAGCTGTAGCTGTAGCTGTAGCTGTAGCTGTAGTAGTAGTAGTAGTAGTAGTAGTAGTAGTAGTTTGTTGTAGTAGTAGTGGTAGTAGTTCGTTGTTGTAGTAGTAGTCGTAGTAGTTTGTTGTTGTTGTTGTTGTTGTTGTTGTTGTTGTAGTTTGTTGTTGTTGTTGTAGAAGTTGTAGTTGTTGTAGTTGTTGTAGCAGTAGCAGCAGGAGTAGTAGTAGTAGTAGTAGTCGTCGTCGTCGTCGTCGTCGTCGTCGTCGTCGTCATCGTCTTCGAAGTCGTAGTCGGAGTCGTAGGTGGCGGTAGTCGTTGTCCTCCTCCGACTACTGCTGCTACTGCTCCGACTACTGCTGCTGCTGCTGCTGCTGCTGCTACTACTACTACTACTACGAGGAAAGAGGAGGAAGTGAGTGGGAGTCTAGGAGAATCAGGGCAGCAGCGGCAGAGGCAAGGGACAAGCAGTATCTGTTTCTGAGGTGCCTCTTTGGTGTCTGAGAGCGCAAGTAGAGCCTGGTTGGCGGACCAGCGAAAGTGTGCGTCAATTAGCCATGCCAGGGTCCATGCGTGACCAGGACAGGAAATTCATGGAAATTAACATCTGATTCAGCAGAGTGGCGCGATATCTTTGACCTGCAGATCTTAAACAGCTGCGAGAGCCATCGAATTCGGACCCCTCACTACCACTATCATCGACCGGCTTCGCTTCGGCAGGACTTGTGCATGCAAGGCGCGACTTGTGGACGTGCCGAGGTCTTTCCGGCGTTTTGGCCTCGTCGAATGCAATGTGTTTGCGACAATGCTCGGCCGTTGAGCCGCATTTCGCAACGAAGCCACGGTTGATTGCTAGATGATTCTTGCACTCCTAGCACAAAGCAGGCTGAAGGCTAGGCCGTCTCTCGAGTTTGAAGCCTTAGCCGCACGTTCCAAGAAGCTCCATGTTCGGCACCAGGCAAGGAAAGCTGCGTGACCGTTGCACAGACCTCCTCCGATTCGCGCGATCGTGGCTTGACAGATGGCCTCAGTCGCAGCTTGTTGCACAAAAGAACACCGGCAAACCTAATTATCTCATACAAAGGGACCTGGACTCCGTCACACTTGCTGGCTCTTGGGGCTTCTCTTCACCGCGCCTTGCGTCTTCCCGGCAACACTGGTTTGCACCAGGCACGAAGCCAACGCTACGCACATTCGCAGCCTCTGCAATTGCTCGAACTTGCCAACAGCACGTCGGACCTTCGCAGGAAACCATCTGATCTAAGAGCCATGACAGCAGGGTTGCGGCGACCACAAACAGCTAAGCCACCTCTGCCGCGGCCAGGACACCGAAAGGATGCCTCGGTCCGCTGGGCTCGTGGGTCTGCGATCCACGTGGCAAACGTCGAGGATTCCGGCACAGAGCGACCCTCGGCAGCACAGCGCCACAGCAATGCCTGGGCCTGAGCCGAGAGACTGTCAGAGTCGCTTGGTAAGCAAGGGCACGCGGCGACCTTGTCGGAAAGATGCTGCTCTGCTTTGAGATGCAAGAACTGCACCAACTTGTCCACCTTGCCACACACAGCAGCCTGTTATCTTGCAACCTGCGACTCTCAACTCCGAAACTCAGAGCCGAAGTCACGACATCGGGTCGCGGAGTCAATGGCAACACAGGGACGGAAGTCCCTTCGATCTGAAGCATGCTGCATGTGGCGGCGGACGGATGTCATAAACTTGCCTTGCTAGCACTTCCTATCTCAAATGCTGCCACTGAAGACTTCTAGTTCGTGGTTTGTCTACTCTTCTGGGGCTGGAACGTCACGGTGTCATGCGATCAGGCTTGCTGCTGGTCTTCACGGCAAAAGGCATGACTTGCGCATTTATTGTACTACTACCTGTTTGCATCTTAAGTCGGATTCCGGGAGCTGAGTCGCACAGAACGCTGCGGTTCAACGACTTTTTTGTCTCGAGGCAGCTGGGCTCAAGCTCGCGCCAATCACTTGCCCGGCCTGAGGGAAGGCCTCGACCTCAAATCATCAGAGAAATTGGAGACAGCAATCCGTAGCATTTTTTCGCCGACCGTTGAAGTTAGCACGACTACAGCGGGGTCTTCTCGCTACTATAACCATACTCTCATGCCGGTTTCACTGCAAATACTACCTCCTGTGTTGCTGATGCTACAGCTGATGCTACTCACACAACAACAATTGACACTACTGCTACTTTGCTGCTGCATTGCACCAAATACGGGTGCTGCTAGCACCCGTAGAAGAAGAAGTAGTACTAGTGTGGTGGTAGTAGTAGTAGTAGTAGTAGTAGTAGTAGCAGTAGCAGTAGCAGTAGCAAAAGCCGCGGTGGTACGAGTAGGGGTGAGGGAGCAAGCATAGGCTAACCCCACAC